GCTCACTGACAATGCCAAAACTGGAACTAGCACAGAGCTGTGCTGGAGCACAGACTTCCCAAATCCCTGTAATCCGTCAGGAGACCCCACTTGCAGAGGAAGGTGAGCGTCTCCACGTCAGGAAGCACTTCAGGTGAAACTGGTTTTGCTTGTTCTACATTTTCATTAGGAAATGCAAAGGGCTGTAAAAGAGCTGCTGCCATCCCATGTCCTTCTTGGCACATCCGAGCTCATCCCGAACTCCAGTGTCCTCCCAGCTCTGCTGGGAATCCTTGGCTGGAAAGTGCTTTGCTGCCTCCTGATTCATGTGTGAGGAGTTCGACCTCAACCAGATGTTCTGTGGGCAGAAACACCTGTTGGAACTCAAACCCCAGTGATTAGAGTTGCCAACCAGCCATTAAGAAAGTATCAAATGGAGAATTATCCCCCCCTTCCCGTTTCAATACAAAGGCAGCTTCATTATACACTTGTTTGAGTTGCCTGATTTTAATTTTAGTTCCAGTGTTTCTAATAGGACATCCAGAACCATTTCACTTTATCAATAGCTCCTGTGAGCTGAAAAAGAGTCAGGGAGGGAAAAAAGAGTCAATATCCTTGAGAATTAGACAAAGGAGAAAAAATTAGCCCAAAGATCTCACTTTCTCTTTCCCACTGATAACACAACTTCTCAATTTACTTGACCAAATTGCCTTGCAAAGAGGAGTATTTTTCAAGAGGAGCAGAGATGAAAGGGATTATTACTTATAGAGGCTCTTCTTTAAAGAGATAAAGTAGTTGGCAATTAAAGCACGAGGAGCTGCAGACTCCCAGGGAAGGCTGTGACTTCTGGAGCAGCCCCATCAGCATATTTTCCACTAACCCCTCGTTTTGGAAAGCAGTGGTCCCACTGCGGGGTCGGGGTGTGGGGCCACCAGCCACCTCCTGCTGCTGCATGGATGGGGGGAACAGGAACAATCCTTGTCCCAGAGCCAACTCCTCTGAGGGATGGAGGAATGAAGGTTTTTCACAACCTTCAGTGGGGTTGTCTGCCCACGTTGGCTCCAGGTAACCTGCCCAGTGCCAGACTGGAAGGCCATGGAATCTCTGCCACTGCTGGCCCTGAACAAGGCTGAATTTTCCTGGAAATCTGTTAGTTCAGCAGGAACAGCTGGGAGGGCAGAGACACAGCAGCCTGGGGCTGGGGCCAAGCAGGGCAACTGGGAGCAGCCACAAAAACCCATTTCCACGTGGGACAGAGGGGTTTGAAACAGCCCTGTGGGATCCCTGCATCCCACTGAAGTTCATGCATCCTGTTTGGGTCCCTGCATCCTGCTGGGAGTCCTTGCATCCCTCCAGGATGACTGCATCCCATGAGGGGACCCTGCATCACACCAGGATCCCTGCATCACACCAGGATCCCTGCATCACACCAGGATCTCTGTATCCCACTGGGATCCCTGCATCCTGCCAGGGTCCCTGCATCCTGCCATGGTCCTTGCATCCTGCCAGGATCCCTGCATCCCACTGGGATCCCTGCATCCTGTTTGTGTTCCTGCATCCTGCTGGGAGTCCTTGCATCCTTGCCAGGATCCCTTCATCTCACTTGGAGTCCTTGCATCCTGCTGGGGGTCCCTGCATCCCAACAGGGTCCCTATATCCTGCCAGGGTTCCTGCATCCTACTGGGGATCCCTGCATTCTGCCAGGGTCCTTCATCCTGCTTGTGTTCCTGCATCCCACAGGGGTCCTTACATCCAACTCAGGGTCCCTGCATTCTTCCAGGGATTCCTGGATCCCACTGAGGGAGCCTGGGCCCTCCCATGGGCAGGGCTGGATGTTGCTGCTGCTCCCACTGGGGCCCTGGACAGGGCTGGGCAGTGGGTGGGGAGAATTAACCAGGGAGGGCACTGAGGGCCCTGACAGCTGTGGCACAACAGCCCCCCAGCTGTGGAACAACCTTTGCTTTCTCCTAATGGGGTCAATAAATATTTAAAGAAGAAAAAAAAGGGGAATCAATAACCCCTGGCAGGAGATGAGCTCTGGCATTCACAGTGGCAGACCCGGCGCGGTGCCCGGGGGGGTGGTTGGGGTGGTTGGGGGGGTGTTTCCATCCCAGGGCAAACATGTTCCTGCATCCCTGCTGCTCCTCTCTCCCATGACCAACTCCCTGTTCTGTGGGATATCTGGCAGGAGAGATGCTGGAACAGGCTTCCCCTGGGGTCCCTCACTCTGCACAGTGTCTGTGATGCTGGATGGGGACATCTCGGGGACGGTCTCTGCCCTCTGTGACCAGGGACAGGACCTGAGGGAGAGGCTGGAGCTGTGTCAGGGAGGTTTAGGTTGGATCATAGGAAAAGGTTCTTCCCCCAGAGGGTGGTTGAGCACTGAACAGGCTCCCCAGGGCAGTGGTCACAGCCCCAAGGCTGCCAGAGCTCAAGGAATGTTTTGACAATGCCCTCAGGGACAGGGGGGGATTTTGGGGTGTCCTGTGCAGGGCCAGGTTGGGCTGGATCATCCCTGGGGGTTCCTGGGGGTTCCTTCCAGCTCAGAAGATTCTGATTCTTCGAGCAGGACAAGAGCTCCCAGACCTGCTCCCCACAGCCCTGTTACAATGAGCTCCAGCCAGCTCAGAGCTGAACCACTTTTCGTGATCAAACGTGTTTTTTGTCTAAGTGTTTGTCAGCAGATGAAGATAAGGCCGTTCTCCTTTATAGGAGTTATTCCAAGGCTTAATTAGTTGATGCTTCCTGAAGTACTTTGAAGATGTGGAGTGTGAGATAAGTGCTGTGCTTCAGAGGCCCATCGGGCACTGCAGTTATTTTTTCATTTTACTTCTCATTCCCAAAGTGTTTGTACAAAGCAAATTCCACGGGAGCATGTGGGGCCCTGAGCAGCCTGATCTAGTGGGTGGCACCTCTGACCATGGTGGGGGATTGGAACAAAATGATCTTTAAGGTCCCTTCCAACTCAAACCAGTCTGGGGTCCCCAGCACAGGAAGGACATGGAGCTGCTGGGATGAGTCCAGAGGAGGCCATGGAGATGCTCCAAGGGCTGGAGCCCCTCTGCTCTGGAGCCAGGCTGGGAGAGCTGGAGGTGCTCACCTGGAGAAGAGGAGGCTCCAGGGAGACCTGAGAGCCCCTTCCAGGGCCTAAAGGGGCTCCAGGAGAGCTGGAGAGGGACTGGGGACAAGGGATGGAGGGGCAGGATGAAGGGGAATGGCTTCACATGAACAGGGGAGGGGTTAGATGGGATATTTGGGAGAAATTCTTCCCTGTGAGGGTGGGGAGGCCCTGGCACAGGTTGCCCAGAGAAGCTGTGGCTGCCCCATCCCTGGAAGTGTCCAAGGCCAGGTTGGACAGGGCTTGGAGCAAGCTGGGCTAGTGGAAGGTGTCCCTGCCCATGGCAGGGGTGGAATGAGATGAGCTTTAAGGTCTCTTCCAACCCGAACCATCCTAGGATTTTGTGATCCTTGGCAAGTGCTGCTCAGCAGTGTCTGACCCTGTCCTGCTCCCACCAAGGGCAGCACTGGTGTCACAGGGGGTTCAGACTGTGCAGGACTTGGTTCAGGTTACGAGATGGTTTCTGGTGCAGAGTCATTACTGCCCCATCAATTTTAATTCAGGACGGAGAAATCATCAGTATAATTATTTACTACTGTGAGATTTCTGAAAATTATATTTCTGGTACCATAGTTATTGATCTTGAAAGGGGCCATAAATTAACTTGACAGTTCACAGAGCCTTTCACACTTGGATAATTTCTCTGCTTGACTTCCACTGTGTGTTGAACTTTCAGCACCAGCCAATTACAGTCATTCAAAGTGCGTATTTGAAGATTTTCTTATGCAACCAGAAGATATTTTGATTATAATACAGAAGAACTTGAAGGAGATACCCAGTGCCCTCCACATTGCAGGACAGCTTGAATTAAGGTGGGCATGGGGGGATGCTGAATGGGCCCTATGGTGGCAGGGGGTGGCATGGCCATGCCATGACCCTGGGAGGGCTGGTGGCCCCAGGATCCCCCCAGGTGCTTGGCAGTGGTGCTCCCCATGGGGCTGGTACCTCCCTGGGGTGACCAGGCAGCTCTGTGGCCTCTCATCCCCGAGTTGGCACCAGCAGGATGCAATCCCCACCTGACCAGCCCAGCCCACAACTTCACATGTTCAGTGCTTGTCCCCAGAATTGACCTCTGATGGGAAAAAGGGATGCTCACGACACAGAAACACCTCCTGATCCACCCTCTGTGCTCTCAGGACATTGTGACAGGAACAAATCACAGTAAACCCGGGTTTCTGGAGGGGCCCCACAGCATCTCTGGCCTGAAATGGGCCAAATCCTGCACCCTGCAGGGGTGTGGGACAAGTGGGGCATGTGGGACAGTTGCTGTAGGGGCAGGAAGGACCTGGCATGGTGGCAACAGGGGGCTGCATCCCCATTCCATGAGGGTCTCCCAGATCCTGCCCTGTCCTGTCCCACCACCTCTGGGGCTCCTCTGTGCAGGAACAGGAAAGGGAAGGGGCTGGGGGGATCTGGGGCCTCACGTAAGGTGGCAATTCTTTGGCTGCAGGGGGAAGACAAGTGTGCTTCATCAGAAACCAACTCAGAAAATCAGCAACATCTGGTGCCTGCTGGCTGTGACACCGCCCCAGCATGGGACAGCAATCTCCTTTCGTCCTCCCAGATTAAGGGATTTTGCTGTTTGCTCACAGTTTTGTATATGTAAAACAAGCTGGCCCTGACCAGGAACCTGCTGAAAGCCTCAGCATCAATCCCTGCCCAAATCCCCCCCAAAACCCTCACCCAAAGCTCCAGCTTCAATCCCTGCCCGAAGACCCCCAAAGCCCCAACATAAATCCCTGCCCAGTCCCCCACTGGGCAGCACTTGCTGCTCCAGCCAGCCCTGCATGGACTCCCTGCCCCTGGGAAGGGCCTTTTGGGGTGACTCTGGGACCAAGTGGGGCTCAGAGCTCTGGCAGCCTGGCCCCAGCACCCCCTGCTCCCCCCAGGCAGGTGACCGCACTCGCTGCGTAGTATTTATTCATTGTATCACAGAGAAGAAAACCTCCTTCGATTAGTCCAGGGTTCCTCAGGGTGGTCCCAGGCCTGGTGCTGGTGTGTGAAAGGGCTTGGCCTGGGTGGGGATCCAGCGTTTCATCCTTTCACAGTGGTGGGAGATGGGGCAGAGTGGGCGGCCCCTCAGACCTCCATCTTCTTCTTCATCTCCATGCGGTAGATGATCTGGTAGCCGTCGTCCCAGGCGTAGACCTGCCTCTCCCGGGGGCTGTACTTCATGCTGGAGTGGGACCCGTAGCGCTTGGGGAAGTAGACGAGGGAGGCGTCCTCGGGGGCCAGGGTGCCGCTGACGTCGAACACGCACTGGACGCGCGAGCGGCTGGGCAGGCGCGTGTTGTACACCACGTGCAGGGCCCCGCACACCACGAACGCGCCCTCCGCGTTCTCCCGCGGGCACGGCGTGTCCCACATCTGCTCGATGTCCAGCGAGCCGGGGTCCAGCTTGGCCAGGCAGATGTTCTTCTCGTCCTCCTTGGTGGCGTAGATGGCCCACAGCCCCTCCTCGTCCGCGGCCACCTCGATGTAGGTGAAGGGGGAGAGCCCGAAGACGGGGATCTGCTCCTCGGCCGGGAACACCGAGCTGTCCACCACCGTCTTGTTGGCCAGGTTGAACTTGATCACCTGGAATGACAGGCCCTGCTGGCGGATGTAGTAGAGGTGCCCATCGTAGACGAGGTGCCCGGTGCCCACCCAGGGGTAGGGCAGCTTGATGCGGGCGGCCTTGCGGGTGGCGGAGAAGAGGGTGAACTCCCTCATGCGGGGGAACACGTACACGGTGTCGTTGGCGGTGCCGTCGAACACGTAGATCTTCTCCGAGTTCCCTGCAGCGTCCTTGGTCCAGAGCCCCGAGGTGCTGCCGAAACGCTTCAGGATCTTCATGGCTCTGACGCTGGCGATGGTGTCGCTGCAGTCTGCAAGGGTGGGGTAGCCATGAGAGCCTGGAAACCACCCGGCCCTGCACTCCCACCCCACACTGGCACCACATGGGTCCTGCTGCGTCCTATCCCAGCCCCCAGGCAACTGCCCTGCAAATGCACCCAGCCCTGGTGGCATTGGGAAGTCCCCTTTGCACCCATGCCATGGGCAGGGGAGTCACCCTCACCCCAGCCCTGTCCCACAGGGCTCCAGCCTGGGGCTTGGATGCGGCTCCCAGGCAGCTGTGGGGATGCAGGATCTTGTGCCAGAGACACCTGAGAGATGCCCTGCGGGGACACAATGCTGTGGAACATGGCCAGGGGAAACTTGGATCTGGGTGGGCTGGGAAGGCTTGGGGTTAACCCCACATGGGATCAGCCCCACAGGGAGCCACGGCAGCCCCTCACCTGTCAGCTTGGTGTACTTCTCATTCTTCCTCTGCTTGGCTGTGGCCACCTGCTTCTCCATCAGGGTCTCATCCACCTCCACGCAGGGCGGTGCAGGGTTCTGTGTCTCCAGGTAGTCCACCTCCCGCTCCAGCCGGTCCACGCGCACCGCGGCGCTCTCGGCCTCCGCCCGCATCGCCTCCCGCTCCTTCTCCGCTGCCTCCAGCATCCCCAGCACCTGGTTCTTGAAGTCCCGCAGCTCCGTGGAGTAGCGGCTGCTCTGGTCGTGCCACTGTGAGATCCTCTCCTGGGGTGGCCAAGGGGACGCTGAGGTCTCCACACCTCACAGCGTGTCCCGCTACCTGCACGTGGCTGTGGGAGCCCCCGGGGCCACACGGCACTGCAGCCCTGGGCTCGTGTCTCTGGGTCCCACTCCCGTGATGGTCCCGCTCCTGTGATGTCCCTACTCCCACACGGTGCCCCCAGACCTGTGATGCCCCTGCTCCCCTGATGTTCCCAGACCCTTGGTGCTCTCCCAGACCCTGCTCTCCCACAATGCTCCCAGACCTGTGATGTCCCCACTCCTGTGATGCTCCCAGACCCACAATGTCCCTGTTCCTGCAGTGCTCCCACACCCGTCATGCCCCCATTCATCCTCATGCTGGGCTGTGCAGGGCCCTGGCAGGGGGTGCCAGGGCACCCCACACTCTGCTCCGTCCCCATCCCAGCCCCAGACCCCACCGGCCGCCACGGAGGAAGGACTGGGAGCCCCACCACGGCGTGACACGGGGTGACTCGGGGTGTGGGGCCCTCCATGGGGCCGTACCTCCAGGAGGGTGAGGCGCCGCTCCACGTACTCCATGAACTGCTGCTGCTGGGCACGGAGGGGCACGGCGAGGAGCGGCAGGAGGAGCAGGCAGCGCCAGGGCCCCATGGCCGTCGGGGAGTGCAGCCTCCAGCTCAGTGCTCAGGAATGCTCCGGCCCCTCCAGCCCTTATTGAATCCAGATGTGCAGAGGGAGGAGAGGCTGTTCCTTCCCCGCAGACCAGCCCCGGGCGCCTTAACCCCTTCACGCCCCGCCGGGTGCCCACGGCAGCTCCACGTGGTGCCATCGAGCCCCGGGGCTGGGATTGAGTTGTGGGGCTGGGATTGAGTCGTGGGGCTGGGGCAGGGGACGGGCTGCTGGTGGGGTTTGTGGGATTTGGGGTGCAGGAATGCTGCAGGAGCCCCGAGCAGCAAGGGAAAGACATGTTCTCACGAGGGACATCCCGTGGGACAGCAAGGACCATGCTGTGCCACAGGCATGAGTGCAGCCCTGGCTCCTCGCCTGCAGACATGCCCGAGGCTGGTGGCCAACCTGAGCCTTGGTCGTGCCCAGGTGTGGTGGAGGCAAAGCCAGACCAGCACCACTGTCACCCCCCCGACTGTGCCACCCCATGTCCTGGCAGCTGAGCCAGGAGCTCCTGCCTGTGCTGGGGTCTTGTGGATCCCCCTGGGCCCCTCGGGGCCGTTGTTTGGCCACCGTCAGTCACCACCCTCAGCCAGGGGCTGCCCAGCGCTGGCTCCAAAGGTGGCCTGAGAGCAGCGTGGGGCCACACGGCAGCTCCCACAGCCAGGGCGGGACAGGGTCGGTGTGAAGGACGGATGGATGGATGGATGGACAGATGGACGCTGCAGCTCCGTGCCCTGCATGCAGCCGTGCCAGGCGGCTCTGTGGGCACAGCCCGTGGGCTCCTGGGCCACGGGAACGGGCCGAGGCTGCCCGTCCGTGCCAGTGCTGTGACAGGGTGAGTGTGCCATCTAGTGCTGCCACATCCCAAATCCACATCCCAAATCCACTTCCCCGGCACTGCCGACATCCCACCCCGACATCCCACCCCGGATGCACCAAACCCCTCCTTCAACAGACCAAGTGACCACATGAATAGAGTACAGAAAATTAACCCTTTTTATTGATGCATTGCAATTGTTCTACATTTTTACCATATTATGTAGAAAATACTTAAAATACAAGCTACTTTGTAAAACCAAAGACAAACATTGAATCCAAAGATAAACTATGTTTTCACAATGGACCCTTTTCCCATATAGTTAGTATTAAATTTTTAAATATCTATTTCTTTTGTTAAAATGATTTTTACATACCCCCTAAGTACATCAGCAATACAAACATAGATCAGTAATTGTCAGAAACTACCTGTATCTAGCGGCTTGTAAAAAGGAAGAGCACAACCATAAAAGAAAGTTAAATTTTACACAGTAACTAGCATATCAAATACATTTAATAAAGTAGGAATTCCATTGCAATATCAAGGATTCAAGCAGAAATACTAACATTACATATAATGTACTGCTACATGTAGTGAGATAGATATAGTTCAAGCTGAATCTGAAATCACACATTATATAAAGTTTAGCAACAAACAACCATGTGGACATGCGGCACCATTCAGAAGTTTAAATAAAAATAAAAAAAGAAAGCAGGGCTGTGCCAATCCTGTCATTTAGAAGCAATTTAGTTTCATGTACTAAAAGAAATTGCTGAGTCAGAGGTAAATTACTGCATCCCATCAACTAGGTGCTAAGCAGGAAAGCCTTGGGAGTCGCCTCTGCAGTGGCTATCACAGCTGCAAATACAGGTCAGGTAAGAGAAAACTGATTGAACAGCTCAAGAATCACACAGACAAACCTAGATGGGACCACGGTCATCAAATATTCCAAAGGTGAGTCCCAAACTAGTTGTAAAAAAAATTAAAGTACTCCAATTCCTATCCAGAGATAGCAGATTTCTCTACAAAATACGTGTAGTGGCTCTGACAATGAGGAGAGTCAATTCTTGAACCCAATTTGAGGCTGGATATGCAAAAGGGAAGAAGGGAAGTATCTCCTTAGAGCACAATACACACCCAGACTGGGCATCACATCCTGGGGGCCACACTGGGACCCACCGAGCTCGTGAAGCCCAGTGTCCCCCTGGCCCTGCTGGGGTGGGGTTTGCTGTGTATCACTGAGGAATTCTGGGGTATTTTGGTTCCAAATGAAGCACATCTGATTTTATCTACGTCATTTCCATCTCATCCTCCTCGTTCCAACTCTTGGGAACTTGGGCAGGGGAAGAGATGACACCGTGCTTCGGGAATACATTTGATTGGGATTAATTCTGTTACAGAAACTCTAAATGGTTATTTCAAGCTGCTTTTTTGGGGGGTAAAGTGGGCGAGTTCTCAGAACTATTAGCAGATTTTGCTAGAGGTCCTTTTTCTTTTTTTTTTCCTGTTAGTAAAGTGTTTTCCACGAAGTCCTATTTGTGAAACAGGGAGTTGGAGCTTGGTTTGCCTTTCGGTGGAAAGGCACAACTCTGTACACCCAAGAGGTATCTCAAGGCAAGTACTGAACACAAGCAATGTCAAAAAAAGCAAGAAAGTGCCTACAGCAACAAACAGCATCGTTTCCAGCAACGATGTGGCATAGCAAGGTTGGTTATCCACTTACAGAAGTGCTCTGACTACAAACACACTGAACAACAACGTGGCTAATGCTACCGTCCAGTTCCAAAGTCCTCGACCCCTCCAGCAAAGAGATGCCAAAACCTCCATCAGTTCATCCATTTCAGGGCAGTCCAGACTTCCTTCCATCAGGAACGTGGGGATTTCAGAAATGACTTTTGCATTTCTCGCCACACACCCCCCCCCTCAGAACTGGCCTCCTTCCCACTGGGACGGAACATAAACTGGGATTCAAGGTTACCAAACCTCTTATTGCTGCAGTAACACGACCGCTCGAACCAGTTTATCATCCACTTGGACAAGGTACTTCACCTACGTATTAGATGAGAAATAATTCCTAGTACAAGGGACCCAAGAAAACAAAGTGTAGTCCAAAAACTGCACTGATTATCCAGAATGAGTATTTCCTCTGAACGCTAACTAGGGCTACAGCTGACAGACCTTCCCAACAACTCCACATTAGCAGTAGCATTATAAAACTTTTTTAATGGTATTATGTGCTTTACAGCAGGCTCTCTTTGGTATAAATATTCTATCACCAAGCTAGCAATATTTTACACGACACGTCTGCTATTCCTGTGGGGGAAGGTAACGCCACACTAACCTAATAAAAGTGATTGCACATATTTAATCACTTCTGCAATATTAGACTAAACATTCCAATGCATTCCCAGCACTACCTCTTATCCGAAATGCACTGACAGACACTAACAGTACATGTGCCATTTTCAAAGGGAAAGCTTTTAAGGGGACATCGCTTCACTGGGAACAAAAACGGAGCTTTGATGGAGCGTTGGAAGGGATAAGACGCAGCTCTGCACCTCCTGCTGCTCTGGCTGTGGAAAGCTGGGTGAATTGCTTCAATTCGACGGGGGCTTGCTGGTCCCTCATAAGGCAAAGCTCACTGTAAACTCTAGTCACACTACATCATCATTTAAGGCACTACAATAAGGGGACACACCAAACAACTCTTCATCACACATACCTGTGCAAAACAAATCCGAAGGTATCCTTTCCTCTCGTGAAGCTCTAACTCCTCTCTCAGTGCTACAGTGATGAGCTCTAACCATTGCATTATATCACATACATTCCAACATGAATCAATTCATTTTGGTTTAAATACAAAGGATACAACACTTCCATCCCCAGGAACGTTTAAGAATTAGACAAACACTAAGTACAGAGTTCAAGTATAATCACTACACATTTTGATTACAAAGACAGAACATTTGGGGTTAGCAGGAAGTTTTGCTTGTTATATTTTTCTAATCAATATGTACATATTTCATTTTCTGTAAAATATTAAAACACCACCAATACAAAACTTCTAAAATAGTTTTAAATTCAGTAATAAACTTTAAAATCTGGACTTTTTCTTTTTTTTCCTTTTTTTTTTTCTTTTTCTTTCTCTTTTTTTGTTTCTGGTTTTTTTTTTGTTTCTGGTTTTTTGTTGCAATTCCTACATGCACGTACTGTTTACAAGTCTTATTAAGAGCGCTTTAAAGTAGCTGTTGACATATCCAGGAGGATACGCTCACAGGAGTATAAAAAGCTGTACATCATCAATACAGTGATGTTTCATTGTATTTCAAATTCATCTCCCTCCTAAATGAATCACGTGAGGAAAAAAATCATTAAGAAAAAAAACAGAACAAAGCAAAGCCCTGTGCTTCTGTGAAGGAATCCAGCTCCATTATAGGGCCAGCATCTAATAAGCTGCAGAAACCAAATTTTAGAGCAGTGCTGCACTATTCACTCTCAGCTGAAGACAACAACATCCTGACAGAGCTGCTGAGCTCTGTCACACAGTGAGATCCTGAATGCACTTTGAAGAACTTAAAAGAACTCTGCAATGAACACAACAGAAAATTCAGCTGGGTTATGGAGAATTTTCAAGAAAACAAAGCAGACTCCAGGGTTTGCAGGACTCCTGAATATATCACGTTGCTGCTGTAAGGCAGCTGCCTCTACCAGTCCTTAAACAGAGCAGAGAAGTAAACAAAAAACCTTTGACAGAAACATATATGGAGATGTAATGGCTTTTGCAGAACCAGCAATTTGTTAGAGACAAAGTGAATTAGAGAACAAATGTTAAAATACTAAATCTGATTTTAAAACTGCCCCAGCAACATAATGAGATAAACATGCATTACATTTTTAGTGGCAACATAGAATCTGCAAATCTTTTCTGTTTAAGTTACACAAGTTAAAAAAAGACATCAGGATCTGTCTTCCAAGACACTGATTTGACACCCCTTTTGATTAGCACAACAGAACAATTTTAAATAAATGTGACCATGAATTTTTTTTTTTTAAAAGCATCTATAAAAAGTAAGTAAAATTTTAAAAACTTAATTAGTGACCCTCGTACTGGTAACAAAACATGCTGCCCAGTTAGTGACCGAACTCACCGGAGACATTTTGGAACAACACACACCCAGGACAGGGAGAAACACGAGCCAGGCAGTCATTCCCAGGTAAAGGTTCACCTGAAATC